GTGAGGCCACGGTACTAACCACTGAGCCACCTTACAGCGCCAAATGAAAACAAATATCTGTAAAATATTTATAATTGGTGCTGCAGGTGTGTCGGTGGTTAGCACAGTCCAGAAACATGCTGAGGTTAATTGACTCAATTATGACTCATAAATTACTCATTACAGTTCTGACCTGTTTGTTTATTTCAGTCAACATGTAAATCACTGTTTTCCCATAATTTCCCTGCTTATTTCTTTGTAGTTTGACAAAGCAGGCAAAATGACAGTAAAATCAAAGTAAGTTGTTAAAGAAATGCCCGTTACAGCCTGTGAAACAGCGTAATGTAGCAGCATGCTGGAATCATTTATGAATCAGAACATGTCGTCTCCTTACAAACACCTGAAGTTAAAGCTCCTTCAGGTTTATTTTTAAGTCATGAAGTTTCCACATGATGCTGTGAGCAGTGATAAAAGCAGAAAAGAGTGTCCTCATTATTATGAACTCCTGTCAGCCTGTAAAGTCCCATATGAAGAGCTGCTCATAGAGACCAGCAGAGGACCGACACGCTCATTAACTCACACTGATGAGCTCTCTGCAGCAGTAGCTCACCGTGTTCTCTCTGGCATGTCTGAAATGTACACACAACTAAACACACACACACATGTACACATGTTCACATGCACACATGTTCTCACACACACACACACACATGTTCACACACACACCAAACAGGTCATTAAACACACTCACGTGTGTGTGATGTAGGAAGACAGAAAAGGAAATCCAACGCCCTTATATGGGAAAGGACGAGTGAGAATCTAACTGATGGTCACTGACTCTCTCTGTGATACACACACACACACACACACACACACACACACACACACACACACCATAAAGTCCTGCAGCTCTGTGGAACCAGAACAGCTTGAAAGAGGAGAGAGAACAAAAACCTTCAGGAACCATCATGTCCAACCAGTTTCCATCACTCGAACTGATGTGGTCTCCTCGTCCTGCAGATGTTGAACCATCTCCATGCTCCAGATGTTTCCTCTCTGCTCTGCTCATCAGATGTAGAAAGATGTTTCACCATCAGCCGTAAAAAAGATGTTCC